CCGGCAGGGTCGACCCGGGAAAAGCGTCCTCAGCCGGTTCCCTTTCGGAGGGCAGGCCTCTGACAAGCGAGGGAGGGAGGAGGCCCGGCCAGACCCGAAGTGGGGGAGGCCTTCCTTCAGGACCCACTGCGGCAGTTGAGCTTTCGTGGGCCAGCCCCCCCCCCTTCCTCAGACCTCCGGGAACGCTCACTTTCCACAGGTCTGGCGAAGGGGGTCTTGGCCCACAAAAGCTCGCCTTAAAATATCGCAGCGAGTCTTGAAGGAAAGCCCCTGCCCCCTCCCTCTTTGGGTCTGGTCTGGTCTTGTTTGGTCCCTCTGGATGTGGCCGGATCAGCTCACACAGGTTAACAGCCTCTTCCAAAACTAAGGAATCTAGGGGTGTGAAAGAGCCAAGGCCCAAGAGGGACTAAACATTGGTTGGGATTCGCCCAGGCTCGGTCTCTGAGTTGAAACCAGGTAGTGGGAAAGGTTTATTTCAGGTGCAACCTGCCACCTTGGTCAATAAATTAATAAACCTAGCATACCAGCGACTCTTAAGGGGGATGCCTTACCCGTTTAATCCAAAAAACAAAAATATTGACTGTACAGCGAGATCAGCTAAAGGGTGAAGTCCCTGCCCAAATAATTTTTACAAAAAATTGTTCTCAAGGCTGCTGTCATTTCTAGTCTTTTAATATTATTATCAAGTGCTGCTTAAGCTCTGAATGGAACCAGAGTATCCTTCATATGGACTTTTTCTTGTTTTGCTGTAAGTAGATGGATCCTAGTAAAAATGCATGAAGTAGATCACATAAACCTAAAATCTATTCACAAAGGCTTTCACGGCCGAGATCTAATGGTTGTTGTGGCTTTTTCAGGCTTTTTGGCCGTGTTCTGAAGGTTGTTCTTCCTGACGTTTCGCCAATCTCTGTGGCCGGCCTCTTCAGAGGACAACACTCTGTGCTCTGGTCCTCTGAAGTGCTGCCCTCCGAAGATGCCCATGGCCACAGAGACTGGTGAAACGTTAGGAAGAACAGCCTTCAGAACATGGCAAAAGAGCCTGAAAAATCCTCAACAACCAACTCTTTGGGCAGTTTACCAAACCTGAAATCTGTTTATCACATGCAGCCACAAGTTAAAATTCATTTCAGTGGGGAAGTTAGAACCCTGTATGACATTTCTTTTTCGTACCTAGTGGTTTTTATGTCTCAAACCACAAAATGTCCATATTTGTTACAGGCTGAGTAACTTCTTTTTATCATGTGACAGATTATAGGTTAAAAATGTAAATAATTTACTTCTTAAAGAAAAACCTGTTCTTTTGCACAGTGTACAAAATTGGAATCTGTTTCAGTGGCAATCTGTCCATCTCTTAGACGAAGAGTGGACAAAGCCCAACCCTGAGGACTGTTTTCCTGAACTCCGCCACACTCCTTTGCCAAAAACCGATTTTCACCTAACACAGAATTACTGTTTGCAACTAGTAGCAAAAGCAATCATTTCCTTTTTGTGTAGGCCATAGCTCTCCCTTGCAGTATTTAACACCTACAATATTCATTTTGATTTAATTTCTGGTTTTGATTTGTTTGCCTTTTAGCAGTCTGTGCATACTCCAGAGAATTTTAGACCTAGTAAGTGTGCTCATCGTATTTTATACACTATGGCAGAAACTAACTCAGTAAGCTGTCTTTGTTGATACTTATTTTTCTCTCCCACTAGGGCCTTCATTGTAATGCAAAGCATAAATCGGACAGCAGCAGCATAAAAAGTCTCTGGCTCATACCACTCGGGACAAACCTACAGGAAAAGGTTTCAAGAATTGCAGTAGAGACTTTGTGAGTGATGGCCCTTGACACTGTGGAGGAGCTGTTGAACCTTGACTGTGGTTCTCTAGTGGCCTACCAACTGGACAAAAATTCCCAGCTCGACTCTATCAGCTTCCAGACCATGCTGATGAGAGAGGTCTTCTTAAATCACCCAGAGGTAGTATTGATACATCGAACCCACAACACATGGGGCAAGGTCCTGTACGTGTTTATGGTGGACAAGCCTTTCTTGAGTCTTGAGGGAGAAATGACCAAAGTGATCCATTTTTCAATCCCAACCAAGGAATCAGCTAAAGATCTTGCTCGTCTATACCGCACCTTCAAGGCATTCAACCCCGAGTGGAAGCAGATAAAGACTTTCCTGGTGGATCCACAGTTTCGGTTGCTGTCCACACTGTCCGAAGCATTTCCCTCTGCAGAAGTCACACTGTCTGTCTTCCATATATGCAAGCACTTGCAGCACAAGATCCATCGGGTCTCCCTGGAACTCCACACAGAAAGGCTGATCCTGAGTGCCGTGCGGAATGCCATGTGTGCCCCCAGTGAAAGTAACTTGAGGAATATGCACCTCATCGTGAGCAAATTTGTGAAACCAGACCTGTTACCAGAGCTGCACAAGGACTGGCTGCTCAATGAAAAGATCTGGGCTTTGCACCGCTGGCGGACCTGGAAAGAGTGCAGCCAGTATTTCAAGGACCTGGAGGTGATAACGCGCAGCTTAAGCCAGGGGTTTGGTGTCAGAGCCTCTCTGGAGACCTGCATGGCTAATATCATCAGGCATTATCAGATGAGTGTTTCAAAGAGCAGCCTGTCCTCCCCGGCTGCCTTGCTCATTCAGAATATCTCATCCTTTCATAACTCTATGCTTCTGAACTCACCCCCTGCCAAAGCTCAGAAGCCACTGCTTCCTCGGGATCCTCCGCCAGCAGCCCCTCAGGCCACCTTGGAGCCAAGGGAAGAGGTTGCCAAAGAGGCCACCCGGGAGCGGGAGGCAGAGGTTTCTACACAAGAGGCCAGAGGGCTTCTCCGGCAGTCCTTGGCTGACCTCTGCACGGAGCCTGCAGCTCAGCTGTGTCTGAACGAACTGGCTGTGGTCCAGAGTTCTGTGCACCTGATGGGAACACATGAGCACACCGTCAACGTCCAGCTGCTGGAGGACGCCCAGACAGTGCGCCCGAGAGCCCCCAGCAGCTGCATGTGCCACTTCAGCCAGACGTTCCGGCTGCCTTGCAGGCACCTCCTGGCTGTGCTCAACGCAGAAGGGAAGGACCTGGAGCCCAGGAGGATCCCTGCGCAGTGGCGCAAAGGGCCGGGCACCTCTCTGCCGGGACATACCGACACTGATGGCCTGTTGGACGTCCCAAGAAGTTCGTGGAATCAGTTGCTCGATAAGTACCTGGCAGTATCGTTTCTGACCACAGAGATCAGCCGGCTTCTGAGTCAGTGCAGCCAAGAGGAGTTTGACCGTAGGTACAGCACTCTCCGGGAACTGGCAGATAGCTGGATTGGGCCTTATGTGCAGGTCAAACTATAATCTTTCAGGCATGTGAGCAGGCTGACTTTTTCTGTCCTGCTTTTCCTTTCTGTGTTTTTCTGTAGAAATGCTGGGAATGGCCAGTTAGGTGACCTTGTGACTTCTGTGTGTCTGGATCGCCAGCTCTCTGAGACTAATGAGGGCATATGGCCCGAGGCATGCCTGAATGGGACTTGCAGCTGGCAAGCTTTGGCCCTGTCCAGGCTGCCCCCCTCTCCTCTCCCGGCGATTGCTCCCACACAGTTAATGCAGTCAAACCCTCCAGTTGCTTGTCTCTCATTGTGGCCTGGTTTTTCATCTTGTCCACCCCAATCATCATTGCTCTTGTTGTTGTTATTGACTTGGTTCCTGCAGAATTCTTTGGGAGCAGGGTTTAATTTGACCTAATAAATGTCCTTTTCCTGTTTGTCATGTGTCAATAAGTCGGCCATCATTGATTATTCAAAGGCCTGCTAGGCAAGAGGATGAGGCCTTGGCAAATGTGGACGGGAGTGGTCTGGCAGGCTTCACCTTGCCCTCTCTGGGGCCACCAGCCCATGCCACAGTCAGCAGAAGCAATCCGTTGTGCTTCTGTTGTGTCAGACTGGAAGGTGTGTGCCAATGTGAAATCAGCTGGGTAACATGCTGTGCATTGGGGGCTCCACCTCCAGCTGAGGAAAGGCTGCTGTTTTGGCCGGGCTGTTCCTTCCGCCCTGTGCTCAAGACCCTGCCTATTTGACCATCCCTTTTCTTATCAGATGGGACATGACGGGCTCACTGACCAATGAACCAGTCGAAGAAATCTCATTTTTGCAAACCTTTTATGTACGTTTCTTGCTACAAAATCTTGCTAGTCCTCCGCAGCTCTTACTTTTCTAGCTGTGCTAGCAACAGAGGCAGGAGGCTCTTGCCAGCTGCCCTTTTCCGCTGTCTGTCCCTCTTGCAGGAGGGGCCCAAGTGTGGCAAGACAGCCCATCTCCTTCTCTGGCTTCCTTCCATTCCTCCAGACTCCAGGTTCTCTGTCATAAAACAGCGGGCAGCTTGAATCATGTCTTCCTCTCGGATGCCGGGCACTGGGACTGTTGGGATGCCAGCAATCATCATGGCCAGGGTCAGGATGCAGACGTTGGAGGGCAGGTGTAAGACTGAGGGAGCCCCTCGGTCTTTGCTCAGCTTTGCTGGCCTGGAGAAGAGTGCGCTGGGCAGGAATCCCCATCGTGCCATGCCAAAGTCTCCGCTGGAGCTGGCCATATCTTTTGGCTGCTGGCTCAGGGGCAGGGGCGGGACAGAGGAAGGGCCCAGCCACCGGTTGCCTGTCTGCCTTGCAGGATGTTCCTGGGGCAGAGACGTGGCGTACAGACCTCGCAGTGGTTCCCACATGGTAGATATCCCCTTCCCTGCAGGTGGGCTCGGTGACTGGCACACTCCCCCAGAAGGCTCCGTGGGGTCTGGCTCCTGAAGAAGCTGTGTGTCCCTGAGCTGGAGAGGCGCTGCCTGCTTGGCTTGCGGTTTCCACCGCAAGAGGCCTCTAGGGGTGGAGGTCCTGGCTGAAGGGGGTGTTCCTGGACAGAGCCTTGGCAAGCTGCCGGGTGCCATTTGAGTCTCTCTGCTGCTGGACTCTCCTGTGCAGAGAGGGAGGGAGGGAGGTTAAGACACTGTCCAGGACTAACTTGTAGGGCATAGCTCCCTGCCAAAGATTGAGGGGCGGGGGGTGGTCAGGACAGGATGGATGATGGGACAGAGTGGCACGGAAAATGTGTAAGAGGACCTGCTCCATGAACTGGGTGAAGAAAGGGGGTGGGGGAGTGGGGTGACCCATCTCGTCCATGCCCTCTGTGATCATAGCAGGTAAAAGTCCACACATTTGCTTTGACCCCCACCATGCTGAGGAAATTGACCTCCCATCTCTGAGCTGGTGGGAGAGGCAACCTATAATCTTTGTCCCATTGACACCACGTTGCCCACCCCGCCCTGGCAGCTCCCAGGCAGCGTAGGAGAGGTTGCTAGTGGAGCAGCTGCCAAGGAGCAGCCATTGTGGGCTGGCTCCTCCCCAGCTATGCCCTGAGCCTGGGCTATGGCCTTGCTTGTGGAAAGGCAGACGGAGGCTTGTCCCACTCAGGATCCCACTGGAGGCCCTTGGGGAAGTGTTATGAGCCCGCAAGCCCATGGTTGGGGGGAGGGGGACAGGTCAGGAAGCCTGGCTGGAACCCGAGCAGTGACCATTCCAGTCACATTTCTGACCCAGGTGAACTGCGGCTTGTCCAGAGACCATGGAAAGCATGAGTGGGATGATTCTGATAGCACTGCTGCTGTTTCCAGAGGCACACGGTGACCCTTGGTCAAGGCAGTGGGAGGATGTGAAGTGAGGTGGGAAAAGGGCCGCAGCGCCATTCTCCCTACACTCACTTTTCATTTTTATTTATTTTATTTTATTTTTTTGCCTGATCGAGGACCCGGTCGTCCCACTTGGGCTTAGTGCCAGGTGGATGAACCGGAGAGCGGCTCCTGCTGGGAGTCTGGACGCTCTGTGCAAAACATTTTGGGGACAGGGAAGGAAGTGGAGGGTGTTACCTCGATGGGAAAGTGGAGAGAGGCCCGCTAAAGCTTTCCTCATCCCTTAGTCAGTCATTGTGTCAGCTGGGGCAGCCAGGCCTTGGCGGCAGCGGCGGCTCCTGCAGCTGTGGAGTCCCTGCCCCCCCTCCCATTCTAGAACCAGCATCACAGGGCTTGACCCTTATGTCACACACAGCTGCCGTGCCACTCCCGGCTGGCCCCTCTGCCCAGGGCATCCCTCTTGGTTGTGAGACTCTGCTTGGGCTGTTTGAGGTGGAGTGGGACGGTCAGGGGGCCTTCGTCCCTTCCAGAGCCGGGCCCAGGTTAGCCTCAAGCACCTACTTCGCTCCCATCTAATGCGTATCACTGCACCCCTCCTGCCAGCCCCCTCCCTCATGCAGCACCTTTCTTGTCACCAGTTTGAGACATCAGCCAGAGCTTTGGCAAGGTCGCCGTTCCTGGGAACCTGTCCTGCCATTCTCTCTTTCTCTCCCCCCCTCTTCCCCCCCCCTCTCTCTCACTCACTCACTCACTCACTCTGTCCCCAGAAGGCAACTTTTATTGAGCAAACCCATCTCTACAGGTTGCGCCTTGGGTCCCCTCTCCTTGCCCCGCCTCCATAAGGAGATGCTTTCTTTGAATTGGTGGGAGGTACAAAAGGCCCATTTAGCCGGCCCTTCTGATTGAGGTTTCCAGTTTGGATGCAGCTTGCTGCTGAACCCTCTGAGAGGGCCTGCAGTTGGTCTGACCATCCAGTTCTTCTTGGCTCTGGACTCTCCTGCCGTCTCGGCATCTCCTCCTGGGTTCAGCGGGCGATCCGTGCAGTAAGCCTCTCACTGCATCCGTGGCGGCCCTCTTCTCAGCCTGGGCAGAGGCCTTCAAGAGGAACACAGCTGTGTCACGGCTTCCCCCCATTTTCGTGTATTCTGTGAATCGAGGAAGTCTTCCAACACATCATGTGCCTGGGCGGCCGGTGGAGTGAGCAGAAGGAGGAGTGTGTGGCCCTCATTCATATTTGCAGAGGTTCTTCAGCGGTGGGGGGAGGTTGAGCCCATCAATGGCCAACCGGTGGACGATGTGTTTCTGGATGGCCAGTCGGCAGAGGGTCTGCAGGGAGGGAACTGGGGGTGGGGAATAGAGAGGAGAACAGGGGGGTTACACAGACTGTGTTAGGCCTAGGGCTCATTTCTCCTATTTGGGGAATGGATCCTGCTCAGCCTCAGCCCAGAGGCTCGGCATGAATAACAGACATGCATGCAGGAATGGGCACACACACACACACACACACCCCCGCTGTTGCTCCAGCTTCATTACTCTGGCAGCCAACAAAGAGGCCCTTGTCCTTGGGAGAGCCGTGCGCCAGCCTGGGAGGGGCTGCCCTTTGGAAGCAGGGGGTCATTCCCCACAGCTCCGAAGGCTCCCAACCCGAGGCCTCTTCGATGGTGAACCCTTGCCTGCCTGCCTTGAGGCAGATCCTTGTGGAAGGTCTGGACAGCCAGCTGGCGCTCTGCCTTCCAGCTCCTGGCAGGGGAACCGGTCCTTGTGTCTGGGTGGCAGCATTTCTGTCTTTTGTTTGGAAGGAGACTATTCCGCCTGGGCGCGCATGGTCGTGCCTCAAATCCTCATCCTCCTGGCAGGACTTTTCTTTGCCCCAGTTCTCCCATTTTCCTACCCCAGAAGAGATAATGGAAAGGGAAATGGAAGCCCTCCCCGCCTCCACCATCCCTTTTTCTTCCAGGGTTTTGTGAGTAGGGCCCTTCCTGCCTGCCTATTCACAGACAACCTTTCTCGGCTCTCCCTCCTGGCATCTCAGCAGCAGGCACATCAGTCGTGGGGAGGGACTCCATTCTCTTGGCAGGGGCTGGTTCCTGCCCTCAGGTGCTCTCCTTGTCTCTCACCTGGTCTCCACCGATCAGCAGGCAGAGTTAGGCACTGGCCCTCCCCAGCCAAATAGACCAGATGCAGAGCAAAGGCTGAAGTTGGCTGGCTGCTCCAGGTGGTGAGCAATCTGGCTTGGATGGTGGCAGAGCCTCCCCCAGTGAAAGCAGCCCCCCTCCCGAGGAACCCCACCTGGCAGGGAGGAGCTGCTTGGAAAATTAAGCAGAATTAACAGATTTCAGGTTTGGAAAGGCAGCAAGGTTTCGAAGAAACCCATTGGGGTTGTTGTTCTGGACCACCCTCTTCCGGCCTGCCCCTCATTGGCATCCCTGGGGCATGTTCAGAGTACCAGGTGGGAAGCAGGTTCTCCTGCCAATCCGGCCCCACCATTGGAGTTTGCTCTGGAAGGCCATCTGCCCTCAGCCGCTCTCGGACCAAAGGCCCATCCTGCGCCCTGGGGATTGAGGTGCCTGCCTAGATGGGCAGACTGCCTTGTGTGCCATTCTTTGGAGGAGCCTGAAAGCGTGTACCACCACCAGCTTTTGACTTGCTGGCATCAAGTGGCTACAGCCCCCCCCCCTCCCGTTTGTCAGGGTTCATTCCTTGCCTTGGGGGAGGGGGCAGAGTGCTCATCTCGAGCATCCCTTCTTTTCATCCCTCCATTAGGTGTCCATCTCTAGAGCTTACTCCCCACCCCATGCTCACCCTTGGAGAAGGAGCTGCCCTGCCTCCACTCCTGCAATGTCCTCTCTCGTCTCCATTCACTCGTTCTGTTCCTTGCCGTTCCCTTTCAAGCTTTCCGTGGCTGGGCTCTGCTGGATCGACCATCGGCAGTTTTATGTTATTTATTTATTTATATTATTAGATTTATACCCCACCCTTCTAGACTGGCTCTGCTCTGGGCGGCATTACAAAATTTAAAAACAATAGAACCAATAGATATGTAAAAATCCAAGATATAAAAATGTAAATATTAAGATGCAGCAGGAGGAAACGCCTGCCTGAACAACCATGTCTTAAGTTTATTTCTAAATTACGCTGCCTGGCCATGGGCCGGGCGGCACCAACTTCTTCTCTTGCCACAAAGCCTAAACAGGTGCACAGGCGTCTAAACACAACCAACCCGTCTCGCCACCATTTCCTCCCCCATGTTGACCCTTCACTGTTAGAACTGAGTTTGTGATCTCCTTTGGGCAGAAATCCTTATTTTTTGCTAAATTGTAAAAGCCATTGTATATTTTGATTGTGCTATATAAATAAATACTGTGATGGCCATTATTTAACAGTGTAAAGGATAAAACACTACTGGTAGTGTTTCCTCTCTCCTTATTTGCCTAGAATGAGGAAATGTGACATTGTCAATATGGTGAGGACAGAACTGCTGTTCAGCCTGAAAAACATGTTGTTGTTGTAGTAGCTGTTGTTGTTTCTGTGCTGGAGGAAGATCAGGGAGGCTTTCTTGCATAGTCCAGCCTCAATTGGAGAAACGCCCTGGTGGTTGGCTTTCAGCTGCCATCCATGCTTTAGCCCCACATCACTCATCTACTCCAGCTGTCCCTGGGAGCCCTTTTCATAATATGTTCCAAATGTTTCTGATAAATTCATGTGCTGATGGTGTGTGTGTGTGTGTGTGTGTATCTCTTGTTTTGGAGGGCAAGTAAAGCACTGAAATGCATGAACCGCATGTGCTTCTTTTAAAACATGTTGGCAGCTTGTGGGGTGTTTGAGAAGAGGGTCAACTGAGGGGCTGACAAACCACCTCTTTACAACAGTCCATCATTTAGATTGCTAAGCCCTTCACCATGGATGCAAGCATCCAAGTTATGTCCATGCCACAACGGAAGAGCTTTCTGCGTCCACTCTTTGGAGCCCTGATTCCCAGGTTTGTCTGGAAACCGAGGCAGGCCCCAGGGAAGGAGAGACCAGGAGTTTGAGGTGGGGGAAGAAACAGAAAGGAAAGGATCTAGTGGAGCAAGAGAAAAAAAAGAAAAGGGAGACCAAGGAGATAAAGGCAGAGAGTTTATCTTTCCCAGCATCCTTCAAGGCAGAGAAGACACAGCAAAGGGCACTTGCGGATAAACAGAAGAAAGTAAAAAAAGATAACAGGAGGGAAGAGGCATTTCAGTGGTGGTGATCCGCAAAGCGTTTGTCTTGGTGCCTGAGAACAACACCGCAGGCACAGGCAAGCCAGCGCAAACTGGCAGCACGGTTGGAAGAGAAAGTGAGAGAACTGGAGGAGCAAGCGGCCGGGCTTAAGGCTATAAGAGAAGGTGAAGAATAGAAGGAGAGGATTCAAGCAGCCGCCACCAAGGGAGGCCCTGGAGGTGGAAGAACAGCAAGGCGAAGCGGAAGAGAAGAACGCTAAGGAGAGAACAAACTGAGAGGAGGAAGCAGCACCAAAAAGAGCCACAGCTAGGAGCCAAAGAAGGAGAAGGCACTCTTCTCCACCAGTGGAACTGCAAAACCACTTCCAGATTCTTGACAAAGACTTTGGCGGACAGCCTGCCAAGGAAGACGTACAGGCGACCCCGCAAGGAGAACCTGAGAGAGGCTGAAGGGAGAGGCCGAGTAGAGTCACTGAACCCACACCGCACAAAACTAAGAAAAGAAAAGTAGCTGCAGAAGCAGACTCCCTGCTGCATGGGAATATCACTGAAATATGCAGGAAAGCTACATGGACGCACCAGGCGCGCTGTCTCCCCAGAGCATGGATTAGGGATGTGATGGAAGGATTGCCGTCGCTTATAGAGTCCTCAGCTGTATCGCCCTTTCTTCTCATCCTCATGAGAACAAACAACACAGCTAAGAGGGGAACTACAAAGAAATCACATCCGACTTGGACACTCTAGGAAGAAAATCCAAGGATTTGGGGGCCCAGATAGTCGTCTTGTTCATCCTGCCAGTATTCAGAAGAGGAATAGAAAGGGAAAGAAAAATATTTTGCATGAATGACTGGCTACAAAGGTGGTACCAACATGAGGGATTCGGATTTTGGAACTTACAGCTACACTTCCACGAAGATGGGCTGCTGGCCACTCATGGCTTGTACCTTCTAAGGACTGGGAAGACAGTGTTTGGCCTCAGTCTGAGGAACTTCGTCAGGAGGGCATTAAAGTGAATTGGAAGGGGAAAGGAGAGGTAAAGATAGACAAAGGCTCATGGATAATAAGAGGAACAGACTGAAGAGCACTAATGGGGCCCAGTAATAATATTCATAAAGTCATAAGAAGGAAGGCAAGCCACAAATGACACCATCTCCAGTGTCTATCGGCGAATGCCAGGAGTATGGAAAACAAACAAGGAGAACTGGAAATCCTAGTTCAAGAGGGTAAACATGGCTTGATAGGAATATCTGAAACATAGTGGGATGACTCACTGAGGAATGTGGTTATTGGAGTTGGCTATTCTAACCAATTCAACCCTGAGTGCTCACTAAAAGGACCGATCCTAAAGCTGTGGCCATCTGATGAGAAGAGAAGACTCCCTGGAAAAGACCCTGATGTTGGGAAAGTGTGAAGGCAAGAGGAGAAGGGGACAACAGAGGACGAGAGGGTTGGTCAGGGTCATTGAAGCGACCAGCATGAATCTGACCCAACACCGGGGGGGGGCAGTGGAAGGCAGGAGGGCCTGGCATGCTCTGGTCTGTGGGGTCACGAAGATTCAGACATGACTTAACGACTAAACAAACAAAAAATTCTAACCAATAGACAACTCAGTAAGGGGAACTTTGGTGGAAAGTGACCACAGTCTCCTTGATATTTTTTATTTCAAAGGAAACAAAAGCAGATTGTAGCTGGATTTTAGGAAAGCCCATTTTAATAAGCTTAGGATAATGATAAGTTAAATCCCATGGCAGGAGATCATAACAGTAAAAGGAGTCCACGATAGTGGGAGTTTTTTTAAAATGAAATTCTATATGCACCACTACAAACAATTCTAACAAGAATAGGTGAAAGACAGGAAAAGAAAAAAAAGGCCCATCTGGCATCTCACCATAATTTATTTATTTAAATTGTTTTAACCCGCCTGTCTCCTTAAAAGGACTTAAGCTCAGAGGGGACCTGAAAACAAAAAAGGCCTCATATACGAAGTGGAAAGAAGGCCAGCTCACCAAGGAAGAATACAGACAAGCAGGAAAGAATTGCAGGCATGGCATTAGGAGGGCCAAAGCTGAGATTGAGCTGAGGTTAGCTAGAGACACTAAAAGCAACAAAAAACATTCTTCAGGTATGTGAGTAGCAAA